TATTTCTGTCTCTCCCTCTCCCTCGCTCTCTTTCTAAAAACAATAAAGAAAAAAATATATATTTTTAAAAGGCTAATAAGCCATGATTGTTTTCATTTAACCTGTCAGCCGAAGTAAGAGGATAATTTATGCAAGTCATCAGCTTCAGAGGGGTTTATTTCACTTCTCTTTATATTTTAAAGTGTTCTTTTCCCCCTTAGTGCATATTCTAAGAAATTCTTTTTACCAGTGCTTATCACCATGCAGTTTTCTTCTACACATCATTCTAATGTTTTGTATATGTTACATGTTTTATGTGTTTTCCTTTTTAAGAAACAATTTGATATAATAATTCCATTTCAGTGGCTTTTAAATAATCAATTCCATGAGTCTGTGCTATGCATATGAGGATATGTAAATATTTTAGATGTTCACTTACAGAAGCTATGGCATATAACCTTATACCTTGGTTATATATTTCCACTTTACCCGCTTTTAACCCATATTTTAACCCATTTACGGTCTTTTTCTAGATTATGGTTGATTAAAAGTACTAGACCATATAAATACAAGTATGACCATACGTTGCTTTTAAGAATAAATGATCTCCCAGTAACGTGGTCTAAGTAAAATGTTCTCTTTTTTAATTATGTAGTCCTCCTCGCCATCCTCATCACAGCCTCATTGTAGCCACTGCAGAACGAAGGCCTCATCATTGTGTCACCATGCATCCCTGCCCTGGGTCAAACGTAACCATGTAGACCCTGCAAAGGCTACCAGTCCATCTCTCCGTCTTCGTCGCTGGCGACCCTTCTTACGCCTACCATCTTTGGGTCTCCATTCTGTTGTAAGTGTAGTCAATCTTCCATCTCTTCTTCCAGTGACAAGGGCAGTTCATTTTTCCCCTTAAACTTCTTCAGTCTTCAAAGTGCTTTTCTCTTGGTTCACTCACCATTGACTTTTCTACCCAATACGATTGCAAACATACCTCCGTGCTTTGCATTCTAGCTTGATTTTCACCAACACCTTGGTGAACACCCATCTTTTCACTCCATATCCTGCCAACATGAGATTGCCTGCCTTTTGATGAGTACTGATCAATGACATTCATGACAATGTTTAAGTTCCTGTCAGTTGTTAAAGTGAATGTATTTTCTTACCCTTCATCTTTCCGATTTCATTTAGTTGACTCAGGTCAACAAATGCTGTGTGCCTCTGAGCTCTATACCATCTCTTACTTTTCTTTTTTCCCCATGTTTCTGAACATGACTTTAGTCTCTTGTCATGCTCTGGGGCGCTTTACTTACTCTATCCTTAATCTAATCCTTCATGGTGTAGGGTGTTTCATCTAAGCTATTTTATTCCCTGAGGTGGCTCAGGTACTTGGTTTAATCTTGATCCATCTCCCCTGCCTATTCAGTTTCTAAACATTTTTCCAAGTAGGAGGTGAAGATTTTTCCCTTGTGAATTGATGTAGGCTTCCCACAAATTTGAGGATTTCTCCTTCTTAGATAGATAATATTAGCAAACTATTAAAAAATACATATATTCTTGTAATCTTGCTGATTTTCCTAATGTTGAGTTTGATGATGGAATTCTAATTGTTTTCATCATTGAAATAAACTGCAGGATTCAGCAACTACAGCTCTTGTCTTTCTGATGTTTTAAACTATTAGTGGCAATGACTATGGATTGGTAGAGCCTACCTAGAAATGTTATACCAGTAATATTTGGTGTATGCCATACATTTATAAGCAACCTGACATGTCTATAAATCATCATGCCTTTCGAAGCCAGAGGAAGTCTGATTACACATACATTTAATGCTTTTTTAAAAAAGTTGTTCTTTTCTCATCTTGTTTACTCTTCTAGCCCTATATTCAAATTATGAAGTAGAGTCATGGCACTTTTCCTTAAACATCTGCTTCCACCAAATATCAGTATGGTCATCAAAAGAGCCTTTGATTTTTGCCGAGTATCAACAAACTGGTGTCTCTCTGTTTCATTATCCTCATTGGGTCACAATGTGCATTTCTCATTTTTACTCATTTATCATTTGATATTTGTTGCTTCCCTGCTGTGCCAGTTTGTACAGTAGGAGATAAAAGGTGAATTAAATGATTAGAGTAAAACCTAATTTTGTAGATTCTGACTTGGGCACAATTGATTCTAAATATGAATAACTTTGTACTTAAAAATATTCTAAATATAAATTAATATGTCATAAAAATTGATTTTTCCAGGTGTATATGTTTTTATATAATGTTGATCTTTGCTCCATATTAATTCCATTGCTTTATAGCTTCATAAATATTTTCATAGCCTAGTGGTTAAGAACATGGATTCTAGAAGGACACTGCCTGGATTTGAAACCAAGCTCCATCACTTACACGCTTTGTGATTTAGAGCATGTTACTTAATGCTTCTGTGCCTCAGTTTTCTTGAGAATAAAATGGGTATAATTATATTATATTACGTACCTTGTAGGGTTTAAATGACAATTGATCACTATATATAAAGCACTTAGAACAGTGCCTGGTATATATTAAGTGCCATACAATTATAAATTAAATTTAAACTATACCTTTTTATATTTTGAAATTTTTATTTAGTATTTACTTTCTATTTAATTGATTTCTTATATTATTTTTTAATTCTTTGAGATAAGAAGTATTTTATTCTAAATTAGGGAACTTTATACAAAAAATAATATATATAAATGTAGGCAAAAATGATTGAAATCTATAGCTTTTTATTTTTGCCCTTTAATATTTGGTAGTCTTTTTTTTTTTTTTAATGAAAAACTTATTGGAATTTGCTTTTTATTTATTCTTGTTTTGAGGTGGCATCATTTTTAAGCAATGGGTAATTACAGGTTTTTAAGCAATGGATAACTGCATGTTTCAGATTTTCAGACCAACTAAAGTAGACCAAAGGAAAAGGCTCATAACAGGTGCTGGCACACAATTTTGTGTCACTAGATTTAGTTATTTCTTACATTTGTGATAACCTAGTATTAATATTGTAATAATAGAGTGTTTAGTAGCACTTAACAGTTTACCAAGTACTTTAATGAGTTTCATTTAAGCCTCAATACAGATAAGAAAACCAGTGCTCACAGGGATTGAGTACATGTTCAGGTCTCTGACTCCAATCATACTACTTTTATCTCTAGCACAGTTGTATTTACTGCCAAATACGAAAATGGAAGCTATAGATGTATTATTCTTAAGAAGAGATGGTGTTAAAATAATTAAAAAATTTGAAAACATAATAGCTCAAAAGATTTAAAAGACTTGATATTCTGTTGGATAATTATGTCTTAAAACGAGAAAACCAGACCTTTTACTAATTGGATAAAGAATTCTTTCTGGAATTTTTTTATAGAATTGAATTTATAGTTTATAGAATTGCAAGGGTTTAGCCTTGAAAAATTGAATTCTCTTTTGGTCATTGGTAAAATGAGGGTATTGGGTTGAGTGATCAGTAATATATTTGATTCTCTGACCAGGAAAGTAAGGGAACTCATTATCACCATCTTTCATTATTTAAAGAAATATGATACTCGAGAGCTATTAGAGTTTTTATAAGATGATGGAAAACAGTGGGAAACATATTTTTGCCTCCAATATGAGGAATAGCTCTAACAAAACTGTCAAAGATGGAATGGATTGCCTCAAAACCTAGCCCTGTTGTTGGAAGGGCTATCAGAGTAGGGGCTGTGGTAGAGAGTTCACAAACAGTAAAACTAGGTAACTTTGATTCCTATCAGTTTTAGAATTCTTTAATTCTGTGTTGAAGTTAGGAAAAGTTAGTTTGGTACATCAGTTTTTATTGATGTTCTTTCATTCATAAACTTGAGGGAAATAATTTCTGAAGAATAATGTGAGATTACATGAGTCACTGTATCTGTAAATGTTTTAAAACATTCAGTAAATCCAAGATAGTAATATTTCTTCTCTACTTTTCAGTTTTTGCATCTCAGAGCTTCATATTACAACTACTTAAAATTATATAATTACTAAAAGGTGAAAAAAGTATGATTTTAGAGTTAAGCTACGACTGTATTATAGGATGTTACATAATATGAGATGTAATTTGATTTATGCCTCTTGAAACTTTTGCCTCTAAAATTTATACTTGCATTTAACACTAATTGTATTTGATTTCAAACCATTTAGATTTGATATATACTTGCGTTTATTCTGTACTTATCATATATTAAAGACATATCGGTGAATCATGCATTGACTGTGTAAATTACTTGAATGTTTAACAAATGTAGCAGATACTGCTCATACAAATTGAATATGGTAAGCTTAAAAACCTAGGTATAGTTTTAATTTCAAATACTTTACTAAGAAAGCAAAAGAAAAATGATAGGCTACAGTTAATTGTATTTTAATTTGCTCTTATCCTTATTTTCTCCCTTTAATCTTTTGGGTTATTTTCCTGCATCTATTTATTTTTAAACTTTTTGAATGTAGGATGAATAAAGATACTTATTTTACTCTAAGATTCTTTATATTGCATTTTTTAAAACAATAAGATTATCACGGTCAAGTCATTAAGGGGAGAACTCACTTTCTTGATGTCTTAAAACTTGAAAAGAGTTTTGTTTTTTAACTCTGTTTATGCTGTAATTAAATTTTAACAGACTTTCTTTTTCAAATTTCGAAAATTAGGCAAATCGCTTTATGCATTCATTTAATTCAGCAAGTATACATTGTACATTTACTATATATCAGGCATTGTCCTACGCTCTGGGACTTTGAAGGTGAACAAAACTTTAGGTTTTTAGATTATTGGGGTTAAGAAAGAGGTGCTTGTAGTTGACGGGTGAGCATGTTGTTATAAATGTAAACATAGTTATTCATTGTTCACTATCTCAAAGGTTAAGCCTTTAATTATTTTGGATAAATGTTCTCTCATGTCATTTGATATTAGTTGTATGTGTTCACAATGCACTTGATTGATTTGACTACTGACATATATAATATATATTTTTCTTCCTATTCCAGGCACCAAGTATAGATGAAAAAGTAGATCTTCATTTTATTGCATTAGTTCATGTAGATGGGCATCTCTATGAATTAGGTAAGAACTTTTAAAATTTATTCTGGGGAGAGAAATTGGAAATAAAAAAGTTTGTATTTATGAAAAACGGGATTATTGATATTTTTTGTGTTTATTTAAATTAATTTATTGCCCTATAGCATTGAATTGGCGTAATGAAACTTTTTTATTTAAGACTTTTTACTAGAAAAAAATAAAACTTTTCTTTGGTGTTCAAGCAACTTATAATTTAAGAATATTTGCCTACCACCTTTGCATTGTAGCAAAGCAGTAAAAATCATTCTAGAAAATTTCTGTAAATCACTTCAGCATTCTTTACTAAATTGTTGAAATAGTCATCAACATCTACATGAGCCATCCTGATCCTGAAACTAGTTTTAAAACTGTAATATTCATGACTACTTTTTTTTTTTATTAATCCTCATCCGAGGATATTTTTCCATTAATTTCTAGATAGAGTGGAAGGAAGGGAGGGAGGGGGAGAGAGAGAGAGAAAAACATCAATGTGAGAGAGACACATCGATTGGTTGTCTCCTGCCTGACCCTGACTGGGGCCAGGAATCAAACCTGCAACCCAGGTACGTGTCCTTGACCGGAATTAAACCCCAAGACCCTTGATCCATGGGCCAGTGCTCTAACCACTGAGCAAATTGGCCAAGACCATGTCTAGTTTTTCATTTGGTAATGGGCATCACTAGTTTTCAGGCTTTTGTACTATCCCTTTGTATTATGTCTGACTTTTTAAAAGACTTTGCAGGAATCTATGTTTTCTGGCAACAAACTTCCTAAGTCATATGTCAAAGTACCCATGGTTTTTACTTAGTATTTTGGCCTATATATGCACTTAGCTTTTAAAGTTTAACTATGGGTAGACTATTTCAGAGACTAGTTGGAGGAGAGCCTCATAATTTTAATTACTTCATTCAGATAGAGAACTTCTTATGATTCCTTCATAATTGATATAGAGTACTATAGTACTCACGAGTCCTTGTGTTAAAAAACAGCCAAATAAACAAAAAAGTGAAGTCCTTTTCAGTATTAACTTCCCATTTTTATTTTCCTTAACTTATTTAAAGATGAGTTAAATTTTTTTTTTTAATTTTTATTACAGTTTATATTCCATTAAGGATAAAAAGTTTGACTGTAAATGTGGCTCATAAAATTTAGATGGCTTTTGTTTGGATTATGACAACAAAATCATAAGAAGAAGTCATTCTATTAAAGGGGACAAGGAAAGGAAATAACATAGTATTTATAAAAATGTATGCCCTGGCCGGTTTGGCTCAGTGGTTAGAGCGTCGGCCTGCGGTCCTGAGAGACCCAGGTTCGGTTCCCGCTGGGGGCATGTACTTTGGTTGCAGTTTGTCCCCGGCTCTGGTTGGTCGTGCGGGTGGCAGCCACTCGATGTGTCCCTTTCACGTCGATGTTTCTCTCTCTCTCTCTCTCTCTTCCTCTCTCTCCCTCCCACTCTATCTGTACAAAAAATGGAAAAATGTCCTCAGGTGAGGATAAAAAAACAAAAAAAAATGTATACCCCTCATCCTGGCCGGTTGCTCAGTGGTTAGAGCATCGGCCTGCGGTCCAGAGAGACACGACTTTGGTTCCTGCTAAGGGCACGTACCTCGGTTGCAGTTTGTCCCTGGCCCTGGTTGGGTTGTGCGAGAGGCAGCCACTTGATGTGTCCCTTTCACGTCGATGTTTCTCTCTCTCTCTCTCCCTCCCACTCTATCTAAACAAAAAATGAAAATATGTCCTCGAGTGAGGATTAAAAAAAAAATGTATACTCCTGCTCAGCTGGTGTAGCTCAGTGGTTGAGTGTCAACCCATGCACCAAGAGGTCACCAGTTTGATTCCTGGTCAGGGCACATGCCCAGGTTGTGGGCCCGATCCCCATTAGGGGGCATGTAGAAGGTGGCCAATCAATATTTTCTCACATTGATGTTTCTCTCTCTCTCTCTCTCTCTCTCCCCTCTTTCTAAAAATCAATAAAGAAAAAAATTAAAATAAAATAAAATAAAATAAAATGTGTACCCCTGATGGTTGTCTTGTATGATTTGAGTAGGAATAAAACTAAAATGAAAAAGAAATGGCTATGGGAGTATATAAGACGCCTGCAGAGTATTTCAGAAGATATCCTTTGCTACTTCAGTTTATAAAATTTATATAGAGATAAGATGTAATAGTGATTGGCGTTTCAGTTGTGTGACTGATTGCTGGAAACTTCATTTCCACTCTCAATTTTGAATAATAAAGAATATGTAGACAACTGGGCTGCCATCCAGAGGAAAGCTGGACTCCCTTTCAACCTATCCTGGAATAAATTCCAGATGGATCAAACACTTAACGTAGTAAATAAAACCACACAATTGAAATCTTTCTTAAACTGGGAGTGGAGGCCCAGCCGGTGTGGCTCAGTGGTTGAGTGGCGACCCATGCACCATGAGGTCGCAGGTTCGGAAAAAAAAACAAAAAGAATAAGTAGTAGAAATGGAAATAAAGGGAGTACTGAGACTTACCAGACACATTCTGTTGACTTCAGGGAAGTAGATTTAGAAAAGGCTAGAGAAATCATAAATATGATTCATAACCTGGGACTAAAAAGTAATGGTGACTTTCAGGATGAGAGACTTAGTGATAGAACAAACAACATTGAAAAGATATTTGGGAAAAAAATCTCTGATCGTTTCATTGGGAAGCAGAGAGTTGTCTAAAAAACTCAAGTTGACTGTTTAGCTAGTAGTAAAAGGAAAGCTATATATCAAGGGTAAGCTACATATGAAGAATGGTCCTTTTTTGTACCGTGCCAAGATCAACACAAAATTATTTTAAAATTGGTTTGAAGTAAGAACATCAGAAAAGAAAGGCAGAACTACTGAGGTCTTGTGTGGTGTAGATATTCTTTAGCAAGAATGAGAAGTATGGCTGATAGAGAATTAGAGGCCTTTGGGGATTATAATCTTTAAATGAGTCAAAGAACTTCATAGTTCTAAAGAATAGTCATAATCTTTGAGATGTCGAGGGGAAGAGGGACACATACAAGACAAATGAAGATGGGCAGTTGCAAGGGAAATTGACAGTAACCCTGATGTAGATTCCTAATAAATTCAGAAGGAATCTTGAGCAAGAGGAGTATTGAGTTAGTGAATAGAAAATTGCACATGACATGATGCTATATATAGAGTACCCTCAAAATTCTACCAAAAACTATTAGAACTGATAATTTAGTTAAGTAGCAGGATACAAAATTAATATTCAGAAATCGGTTGCATTTTAATACACAAACTATCAGAGAAATTAAGAAAACAATACCATTTACATAAAATCCCCATTGCATTAAAAAAAATTTAATACCTAGGAATAAATTTAACCAAGGAGGTAAAAGACCTGTACTCGGAAAATTCTAAGACATTGAAGAAAGAAATGGAAGAAGATAGCAAATAAATGGAAGCATATACCGCACTCATGGATAGGAAAAAGTAACAATGTTAAAATGTCCATACTAGCCAAAGCAATCTAGAGAATCATTGTGATCCCTGTCAAAATACCAATGGCATATTTCACAGAACTAGAACAAATAATTCTAACATGCATATGGAACCACAAAGGACCCCAAATAGCCATAGCAAAGTTGGAGGGCTCATGCTACCAAATATCAACCTATGCTATAAGGCCATAATAATTAAAACAATATGGTACTGGCATAAAAACAGACACATACATCAATAGAATAGAATAGAGGGCCCAGAAATAAACCCACACCTCTATGGTCAGTGTATCTATGACAAAGGAGGCAATGGGGTATAGATAGTCTGGTGTTGGGAAAACTGGAAAGATACATGCAAAAAAAATGAAACTAGACCACTTTCTTGCACTGTATACAAAAATAAACTCAAAATGGATTAAAGACTTAAATATAAGACTTGAAACCATAAAACTTCTAGAAGAAAACATAGGCAGTAAACTCTTTGACATTGCTTTTAGTATTTTTTTTTTTTTGCTATCTCATTGGGCAAGGGAAAGAAAAGAAAACGTAAACAAATGGGACTACAGCAAACTAAAAAATGTTTGCACAGCAAAGGAAACCATCAACAAAATGGAAACACAGTCTGCTGAATAGAAGATATTCACTAGTGATATAGCCAATAAGCAATTAATATCCAAAATATGTAAAGAACTTGTACAACTTGACACCAAAAAAGACTCACACTAACAAAAATAACAATTCAATTAAATGGGCTGAGGACCTGAATAGAAACTTCTTCAAAGAAGACATACAGGTGACCAAGAGACAAAGGAAAATATGCTCAGTGTCACTAATCATCAGAAAATGCAAATTAAAACCACAATGAGATATTGCCTCATATCTGTCAGAATGGTTGTCAGTAAATCAACAACCGAGTGTTGGTGAGGATGTGGAGAAAAGGGATCTCTCATGCACTGTTGGTGGATTGATATGTTAATCTTACTTAGAAGCTTTCTGATTTAGCTTTTAAAATGAAGAAAGAATTTTTTTCATATTTCTGAGGGTAAAACTTGGGATTGTAACTTTTAAAAAACTGCATATTCTTTTTAGGAAATTAAAACCAATTCCTTTTGACTGTATTTGTAATGAATTCTATTTATGGAGATAATTTAGGCTTTCAAACAGGGAAGCAAGGTTCTAATAACTTTTAATGTTACAAAATATTGCACGGCTGGTGTGGCTCAGTGGTTGGGTGTCATCCCATGCACCAAGAGGTTGCTGGTTCAATTCCTGGTCAGGGCACATGCCCAGGTTGTGGGCCAAATCCCATGTGGGGGGCATTCAGGAGGCGGCCAGTCGATGTTCTCACTCATCAATGTTTCTATCTCTCTCTCCCTCTCCCTTTCTCCCTCTCTCAAATCAATAAAGAAAAATTTTTTTAAAAAAATTCATAGGTGGCTTCCCTGGCTCATTTGGCTCAGCGGTTGGAGCGTTGGCCTGTGGACCAGAGAGTCCTGGGTACAATTCCTGCTAGGGGCACGTACCAAAAATAAATAAATAAATAAAAATTCATAGGTAACTCATTTAAAATATTTATTTTAAGACATATTATTTTAAATATCATTTAACTTTTGCTTCACTGTGAGAAGAGGAAAGTGAAAATTGAAAGTACATTATTTCGTACAAACAGCTAAACATTCAATGGTTTGTCTATGTTTTACAGATGGACGGAAACCATTTCCAATTAACCATGGTGAAACTAGTGATGAAACGTTATTAGAGGTAACAGCAAAACTTGTTGACCCACTTTAAGTGTTATTAATGTTCTTGTTATCTTTGAAACATCTCTAAAGATCACTTGAATAACATTTTATCTGTATTTGGATACTTTATTGTCCTTGCTCTCTTGGAAAAAATTCAAAAATAAAAAATCCAAAAATGAACTAGTGTTAACCTACTGCAAATAAAGATGTTTTCAGAGCTCTTCGTTTGAACAAGTATCAAATTTGAAAAAGACAAGAATAGTTTCACTCTGACCATGTGGCTTGGTTGGTTGAAGTGTCGTCCTGTACACCAAAAGGTTGCAGGTTTGATTCCTGGTCAAGGCACATACCTAGGTTGCAGGTACGATCCCTGGTTGAGGGGGCGTGGAGAAGAAAAAGGCAAGAATCATTTTGAAAGACTTGCACACCATATTCCCATATTTCATTAAATTCAAGATACCATCATTTGTGTCTAGATCCTGATGTTAGAGATTTTTAAAAATTTATAAATAAATTATGTGGTTTAGAATCAATGAAATATGTAATCGTCAAGTTAAAAGTTTCTTAAAAGTAATTTAAGAAAGACTACTTACTGTACCTCATACTTTTGTACTAAGCTAACTATGCCACGAACTGTTTGCTCTTTTGTGCTTTAAAGTTATTTTGTTATTTGGAAAAAGGAGTGTGCAGTGTAACATTAGTATGAACTAGGAAAATATGAAACACGTAGGATTTGTAAGCAAAACATTTGTTTATAAACTGAAAATTATACATTTTCCCCCATAGGATGCCATAGAGGTTTGCAAGAAGTTTATGGAACGTGACCCTGATGAACTGAGATTCAATGCTATTGCTCTTTCTGCAGCGTAATGTGTTCGTAATGGAAACACCAAATACTGTATTATCAGCAACAAAAATTCAATGTCTGCTGCCGTACACTAACTAAAAATTTTTGATATTTTCATTAACTTGACTGATTAAACTTTATGTGACTTAAACGTTGACTTAATCTGTGTTTTATATTATTTTTATCCCAAATTAAAGCTGCATTTCTTTTCCTCCCTTTCTTTCTTGTGAAGGATTTACCTTATTTGGTGACTAGTAATAGCTTTCTTATTCTCTTTAAAATTTCTGTGGTAAGTTTTGGGACACAGGCACAATTCCACCCGCATGGTACATATTTATAACATATCAGTGTGATAACATTCATTTAGCAAACATTTGAGCATCTACTTGCAATGAGCTGGACACTGTTCTAGGTGCTGGAGTTGCAGCCATGAACACTGCAAACAAGTCCCATCGTCATGAGGCTTATGTTTTTGTGGGAAGAGACAAATAAACACATTAATAAGATACATGCCAATAATAGATGCTAAGCAGAAGATTGAAGTCAGATTTGTGTTAGACAGTGACTGAGTGTAGCCATTAGATGCATTTGTTCAGTGAGAGATGGTGATGGCCAGGTCGTAAAAGTGCAGTAGTTCCCCCTTATCTGGGGTTTTGCTTTCAATGGTTTCATTTAGCTGTGGTCAAACACAGTCTGAAAATATTAAATGAAAAATTCCAGAAATAACATCATACGTTTTAAATTGTGCACCATTATGAGTAGCATGATGAAACCTTGCACTGCCCTGCTCCATCCTGCCTGGACATGAATCATCCCTTTTTGTCCATTGTATCCATGCTGTTCACACTCTGCCTGTGAGTCACTTAGTAGCCATCTCAGCAGATCCATCCATAGTCATGGCATCTCAGTGCAAGAGTAGTGATGCTGGCAATTCCGATATGCCAAAGAGAATCCATGAAGTGCTTCCTATAAGGGAAAAGGTGTGTATGTATAGAAAAAAAACATTATATATATATAGTTTGGTACTATCCACAGTTTCAAGCATCCACTAGGGTCTTGGGCATATGCCCCGTGGGTAAGAGGAAATATTGTGCTAATTTAGCTAGAAGTCTGTGAGTGGATTCGGGTGTGTTTTGAAGAAGGGTTCAGTGGAGTCTGAAAGGATAGGTGGGAGGCAGTGGAAAGGTGTAGAGTATTTGCAGAGCTGGGTCAAAACAGGGTTGTGTAATGACAGTGTCCTGTATCATTTTTGGGAGAGTTCGTTACACAGGTGTTTACATTTATCAAAACACATTGAATTAATTGTTCGTTTAAAATATGTACTTCACTGTATATATATTTTGCCTTTTGAAAAAACGCAGAGCTGAATTGGGTTGGAATCAGTATAGCTTTTAGAAGAAAGACCAGACTGGTCCAGAATGGAGTTCTGGTAAAATTGAGTGGAAATGTTTATACTGTACAAGATTCACTGAGTTAATGTAGATTCCTGAGACAGTAACATGAGGTAAGTGGTATTTTGGGAAAAGTAATAGGGCAATGGTTTGCAGAATGGATTAGGTCTTTGTTATTCAAAGTGTGGTTGCATCAGTTTTACCTGCAAACTTTTAGAAGTGAAGCATCTCAGACCCCACCTTAGACCTACTAAATCAGAACCTGCATTTTTAGGAAGATCCCTGAGTGAATTGTATGCATATTAAATTTGGGACTATAATGAGGATGGTCACTTTGGAAGAAATTTAAATGTACCACCTTTCTATCTATGGTGAATATGACTTGAGGTGATAGCAATAGGGATGAAGAAATAATCTGAAACAATTGGATAAACTATGTAGCTGATGCTTTTGTCATGCCAATTAACAACAAGCTAACATTCTATTTTGTTACATTGTTTGCATTTTGTATTCATAAGTATAGTATCTTAAATATTTTAAATATTTCTAAGTTTTCTGCCTGTTGCCTTGTTGGATTTTTCTTGCTATATAATTTCTTAATAGGTCCTTAATGATATCTCACTAAGTTTCTCAATGTTTAATATGAAGAATACTAACTTGGCTGACATAGTGGGCAAGAAGAGGTTGAGATTAAGTACCTTTTGAAAACATTGGGTTAAAGTTAATTTTTTTTTAAATGCATATGTGTTGGGTGGGTGCATTGCAGAACTCAGAGTTTTTACACATTATTCTATGTATTATATCATGTCTACACCTTTTATTTAGAATGAGCATTCTTTTGCACACACTTGAGGGTGACAGTCCCTTGTGGAATACAAAACTTGAAAACTTTTGCTTCTCCTTTCTTAAGTTATGTCTAGAATTTTAGTCCCCCAACTCTATTTTCTACAATACTTAGTCACTTTCCTAAAACTTAGCACTTGTAGAAGAGATTCATTTGTATGGAAACTTGTAGAGACACTAAGAGTGATCAAGTTGTGGGTCATTTCTGTATATTGCTGTTAATGATCATAATGTGTTTGAGGCAATAGAACTTAAATGAGAACTTTAAATGTTTTTGCTTGGTGGACTTTAGGAAATTGACTAAACATTACCTTTTACTGGATGTAATGGTTCGCTTTACATTATTGAGCCAGATAGAGGAGCATTTATGAACTCCACAGTATTTAACCCCTGATGTTTTCTGTGTTCATTTGTGACTAAAACTGAAGATATCTGTATTCTGTGTAAATCAAGCTTTAACATGTCTTAAGTGGAAGCCATCATTAATTCTTTATAAAAATTGTTTAAACAAAGAAATTTGATTTGTGTATAGTGTTTATTAGGTAAACTTTGTAATTGGGTTGTATATAACATACAACCTCTTTATTTCATTTAGTGAAAACATAGTTTAAAAGAGATTTTCAGCCATTAATGTTTGTCTATAATATAGCTTTCAAAGCAAAGCATTTATAAGCTTAAGATTTCTTTAGTGGTACTTCTAAGAAAATTGTAAAGAGGCATAGTTTCATCACTTTCTAAACTTTTCTATTTATAGAAATTTATGTCTATTGGGAAAGCTTATGTATATGTATATATGTACATTTATACACACATGCAAATACATACACATATACTTGTATTACCTGGGAACTAATATAATGTGCATACATGTGTACATATATATGTATGTATGTACATGTATATATATGTACACTCATGCTCACATATATTCATATTTTGAATAGGCAAATAACTTTGGTCCAAATTTTCTGTGTGTTATTTAAACCTTGGACTAAAGTTAAGGTACAATTGATATCAGACAAAATAGGGGGTCCTTTTCCAGAGAGAAAGAATTTTCTGAGACACGGGAAAATAAGTGATTTTTATGTGCATGGAAGTAAATCCCTGTGTTTCCAAAGTCCCATTTTCCGCAGTCCAGTCATAGAAGACGTGCAGCTGGGGTTTCAGTAAAGCTAGAAGCAAAGCCAGTATCCAGAGTTTCCTTTCCATGTTGCAGTCAGGTCCAGTAGCATCAGGCTAGTTGCAGTCCATTAGTCCATTGTGTGTGGGGTCCGCATGGCCGTGGGCCACATGGGAGAATGCCAGGCAGCCAAGCGTGAGCCATGAGCCATCATGCCAAGAGGAACCAAGAGCCCAAGACAGCAAGCTTCTTTTTTCAGGGAATTAAGTATCCCAAAGTTCCTCACCCTGGCAGTGGCCACGCCCATTCTGGCCAACCATCTCTGTCTTCAGGTGTGATTGACAGGCAAGTACCTTCCTTATGTCATCTCAGCTTTACTGGGCATGTGTCTATCTTCCTTTTGTTGGACCCCTGGAGAGCGTAAAGTTGTAGCATCCTGGTGAAGTTATCTAAATGACATGCCTATCAAGTGTGGCCTTCCCTTGGATCTGTTCCTGTTATTAATAACTAGTTAATTACAGCAGTATCAAAACCACTTTGTAAAGTGTACAACCATTTTAAATAGTTTTTAGAGCTAATTTAGAAGCCTTTGTATATACATACTGAAGTGTAATAATATAGATTTTTAAAAATATATTTTTATTGATTTTTTTAGAGAGGAAGGGAGAGAGAAAAAAAAATCTGCCTCCTAAATGACCCCCACTGGGGAAGGAGCCCATAACCGGGGCAGGTGCCCTGACTGGGAAATGAACCAGGCAGAACCTCTCAGTCCATGGGGCAACGCTCAATCCACTGAGCCACACCAGCTGGGCTTAATAGTCATTATTTTTAATGTAAGATTTCTGCAGTAAGATCTTAAAATGAAGTTCCTTGTACTCTCAACAAAATTACAACTGAAAACCAAGTATAGAATGTGCTGAGTTTTCAGATTGCAGAAATGTTTTATCACTGAGTTGGCTTCTTTTGGTTTCCGACTCTCGGCCCCTGCAGCACGCAGACTGTGGAGCTGCAGAAGGCTCGTGTACTGGAAGGCATTTGTTTTCTTGGTGCCAAAGGTGTCAGTTGATCACACCAGTTCACCAGGCTTTAGTTTCCTGTTATGTTCTTACTTGTTTTACTTTTGAATGAAAGTTACTCTAAATCTTTCTCTTGACTTCTTTGTTTAGGAGAGTGATTCTGAACCTGTCGCTTGATAGGTGAGAGTCCCAAGTATGACATTTCCACAGTCAGCTAGATAGTCTATGGGAGGTTATGTAGACCATAACGGCTTATATTATGAGCATTTCCTTACTGTCTAATTAATAAGGTGGTTGGTAATCTTTGGTTTATTGGCATTAAATTTACATAACCTTTACTGAAAGCTATTTTGCAGAATGGATTATTTAATTTAAAATGCTTAGAAATATATAATAAAACCTTTTAAATCTATAAGACAGATATGAGTATAAATTGAATAACTTAAAAAGCCACGTGGTCAAGAATGAACCCAAATGATATGAATGACACATTTGATTTTCTGTGCCCTCTATCAACATGTAAACAAAATCGGTATTTAAGTTACGTTCAATAGTATATCCTTTAAGAGCTAAAAGGATAAGATCTCTGTCTTACACATGTTCTGTGAGAATAAGATGAAAATAAATTGCTTGAGGCTTTATTTGTAGTCTAAACATGAAAGACTTGAAGCACACACATGCAAAGGTTGTAAATTAGGCTGTTCTTAAAGAATGTTGTAAAACCTGTCTGATGAAAAGTTGCTTTGCATACTGAGAGTTTAACTACCTGTGGTAGAAGATG